TTGTTGAATGCAATTGCATAGTTTGATCGTAATAGGAATTAACAACTACAGCAGAGGATGAGAAATTTATGTGCATGTTGGTATCTGCTGCTGTAGGGTGATACACTGGAGTTTCACGACCCGTTTTACGTGAAGTGGCGTAAAACTCGGTGAAAAACGCGGTGATACGCAGTAGTCGTAGAGTATGTTTTTCACTAGTGTTTTTCATATCACTAGGGCAAAAGTCTACTGTTGAACCATTCTCTGGTTGTAAAGTTGAGCTTTGACAGTATGGCAAATATTTGCTCATGATGACAAAATAAAATTCTGAGAAAATTCTCATTGATCTCTGTACATTTCTACCCCGCATGGAAACTTCCAGCGGTGAGGAGGCTCTTGAGATCAGCTGAAAAAAGCGAACATATATTACTACCGTGTCGTATTATCATTTCGTTATGGTGTTGCTAGTGCCGAAGTAGGTCCCTGAATATGAAACAGTGGTTCGCCCATATCGCCATGATTATAAGCATCCGTCGAATCCTAACGAGGTATGTCAAAGGAATGCACGTGGCGAATGATATGAGGGATGGGTTGGTGTAGGTGATGAAGAGCGCTTCGCATTATAGTAAGAAAATGTTTAAAGAATCTAAGAAAATGGGAAATGCTATGATGGGACAAGTATTGAAAAACGCGAGTAAGAGTCAGAAAACGCTCCAAAAGGCGACTAAGGTGAGAAGGTCATCTAGAGGTTGATACCACTCCTCGTTGAACATTTGTTTCCATCGATGATGTGGCTGTATGTGGCTTAGTCGGTGATGAATCCCCAAGCAGCGGGGGCCTCTTCCCATCGAAGGAGTAGTCATCATCCTAAGGAAGAGGAGGGTCCTGGCAGTAGAAAGGAGTCGGTGGTTGATGATGAGGAATCTTCATCGACCCCACCGACCTTATCGAAGGAGGGCACGGCAGTTGGTCCGACTACTACAGCGGACGCTGATGATGAGATTATAGTGGTACAGGAGGGGACGTCACCTGATGATGAACAATGTAGTAAAGGGCGGAGCGAAGCGATTCATGTTTTTTTTGGGAATTTTTAGTGGTGCGAGGAGTGTCGAGCTTCAGTGATGCTTCTTCTGAGGGGGAGAGGAGGCGACGGAACTCGTCATCGGGAGAGTCCTTTCAAGACGCGTGTAGTGACCATGATGGAACTGGTGATGAAGGCGAGGACGATGCTGAAAATGGTAGCGCTGGGATTTGAACCTGCGACCTGCGCCCATCTCGGCAGTCGTTTTAGAGAGAGAGGCTAATGAACGGTATGCGTCGTATGATGATCGTGCCGGTGGAGTGAATGCATCGAAGAGGCAATCGGAAGATGTTGAAGGGTTTGCTTTATGGAGTGATGAGGGCGAGATGAAGGGTAGGGAAAATGTGTGTCTGGGTTTGGCAACTGAGCTCGAGAATTTTCATCAAGTTAACAGTTGAACGAATATTCAACAAATGCGCCTATTCTCTACGTTATGAAAATTTACACACGATTCTACTGCAGAAGTGCCAAGGAGAATTTTCCAACTTTTTCTGGCAATTTCTTCATTGTCAGCAGTGCGTGTAGTTGACCATGTGCATATTTTTCTCGGAAAAAAATCTCGCAAAAATGATCGATTTCGTAGCAGCGACTGAGTTCGATTCCGGTTCATGTTCAGGTGCAGACTCGATAAAAATGTCAGAATTGCGGATTCTCGATAAAGTCTGTGAAGTGCGATTCAACCACTACCATATTAACGAACTAGTAGTGGAGATAGCAGAGGAAGGCCCTGAGGATTCTGGTGGGCTCAAGGGGCTCATCACACTTTCGAGCAGTGTGTTGGTTGAGCATGTTCTGGGAAAAAATCGTACCGTGCCTCCCAGCCTGCCCAACACGTCGGTGTAACGCCCTAAATTCATTGCTACCACGAAAAATACTAAGTTTTCCCATTATCGTTTCATATGCTATTCACAAAGGAAAAAGTAGAGTATTTTTTTTCGAGCAGATGGTAATGATAATTGATATTTCAAAGCTTATTTATTTGTTGTTAAGAAAATTCTGAATTTTTTCTTCAACTGTTTTCAATTTCAAATAGATTTTTATGTTTTTCGAATATCTGTCTTCGCGCTCGTAGTGGCGAACAAGCTTTCAAAATAGGAGTTTTTGAATTTATAATTTTTTGGGGGGGAGGGGAAATCGGACGGCTAATGTGTCTGTTACTATCATTGAAGTTTCACCCTAGTGATATGAAAAACACTAGTGAAAAACATATTTCACGACGAATGCACATCGCGAATATCGGGGTTGCACGTAAAACGGGTGAAACTTCATTGAATTTGGACTGATAAAATAGTAAAGTAAAAATACTTTGAATTTTCACTTCTGAGAAAACAGTGGAGGTTTTTGTTGCTCTATATTGTAGATGACATAACGACACGGTTCATCTTTCGTGAGTACGACCAGACATCGCAGAATGAGAACGCCTATGGGAGGCCCCAGTTGGTGATGGTGGCATGCTTCGCTAGCCAGTCCGAGAAGTTTATACAGGTAAAATTAAATGTAGCTGTTTTGCATTCACATGGTTTTGATCAGATTGCTAAGGGTCTCTGTAGTCGAGTATTATGTCCATTTGAGGCGGTAGCATCTACTAGCATCATCACTACTGGGCAGGTAATGTGAAGTGAGGGGAAGGACAATTTTGGTCGGGGTTTTCGTAGGGTAGCGTTGATATGTTATTAGTATTAGGAGAGGCGGTTGATAAATATGCACATGTGAAAATTCTGAGGAAATTTTGGATTTTTTTTTCTGATTTTTGTACATTTCTACTCCAATTCGTGTGTAAACTTTTATTACTAATGAGGAAATTT